GACACCGAGACTATGGTTTTTATCAGACAACTATAACTTTTATGTGCGTTTGAACATTTTCAAAATAAAAATTTGAGGGGAAAACCAAAAAAAAAGTCCAGCTCCATCTCTTTAAAGAAATTACCTGGGATTATGCTTTGGCGTTAATTCAGAGAGAGAGAATCACCTTAAAACTTGTTTTATAATAAGCAGGATTCTAGCTCTGCACATTTTTGGTAAAATGTTTGGCACAATGCCTTATAGGAGCTTAAATAATATATTCTTAAAATTTAAAATAGTCCTGGGTATGTAATATACAGCATTATGACTATAGTTAACAATACTGTATTGTATATTTAAAAGTTGCTAAGAGAGATATCTTAAAAATTCTCATCACAAGAAAAAAATTTTGTAACTATGTGTGGTGGTGGGTGTTAACTAGACTTCTTGTGGTAACCTTTTCACAATACATACCAATCAATATAGAATCATTACGTTGTGCACCTGACTAATATAATGTTATATATCAATTATATCTCAATAAAAAAGATTTCCAAGTAGAGAAACTTACAAGGGAAGCAGAGGTAGTTCCTGGTTATGAAATGTGTTCATCAGCCTGGTGCTTTAATTACAACTTCTCTGGAGTTCGTACTATGCTGTCTTCATTAATCCGCAATCAGAGGTTTGAGTCAAATAAATCAGCAGGATTTACCCATACAGAGTTTATTATTGAGCGATATGATACATGACACCCCATTCCTTGCCATTTAGTTGCTGATGTGTCTCCAGCTTTTCCAAGGCAAAAGCAGAGACTAAGATTAGAGCAACATATACTTAAGGGTGTGTTTTTGCAGATGTTTGTTGGGACGTGAAGACAAATGTAGGAATGATTAAATGCTGAGAACAAAGTGGAAACTTCGCTGAGGAAAGACAACATTTCTGGTAGGAGAAGTTTAACTTTAATGCATAATCCTACCAGTTTTATCACTGAGTGCGTCTACACAGGGTGTGTGTGTGTGTGTGTGTGCGGGAATATTTTCACAAAAATGACCTGGACATTTCTCTGCAGTTCTTTTGAGAAGAGGACTCGCAGGTGTCTTGGGAATGAGAAAGACCATACAAGATTGGGTTTTCTTCCGGACCTCAAGGCGGAATGGTGAAACCAAAGGGAAACAATCCAAGGCAGATTAACGAATTCGAAGTGGATTCTAATCAGATCTGTCCTCCTCCCGCTTCTGTTTGCCAAACCAACACGAAGCAGGATTTCCCAAGCTGCTCCATCGCTCCCTGCGATTCGCTGTCCCGGACTTTCTCCTGCCTCACCCCGATCCTGTGTTCACCTCTCCCCTGGCAGAGCTGTTCTTTGCCAGTCATTCGGAGAGGCTGACTCCCCACGTGCCAGGCAGCATCCGTCCGCCCTCACACCCACCCCGGGCTGCGGCGTGGGGAGGGGGTAAAGGAGCCACCAACTCGCGGGAAACTTTCTCTCGCGGGAAATGACTGGGGGTTTCCGGTTTCCTCAGCCCTTCCACGCCGGGCTCGACGGCACTCAATAAAGTGGTGCCACAACTATTGCAGGTTCTGAGCTGCAGAGACCAGGGCGGCCCGCAGAAACGCATCCCCGGCAAGGAACGCGGCGCCCTTTACCACCGAATGCGCCCATGACGCGGTGGCCGACAGCCCGGGGCCACTGGCGGGGCTCGGCCGGTGCAGGGAGACTTAGCGCCAGGATGCTTTGTTTTCCTGCCGCAGGAGCCCGAGGCGGTCTCTTTCCACCAGACTTAACCCTCCCGCAGCAACAGCCATGAAAGTTGCGGAGGCACAGAAGGAGAGGGAACCGCTCCGCGCGGCATCTGTTTTGGATGTTTTTTCTCTACACAGACCACTTCTTTCCTCCTTCTTGGGGTAAGTGTAATCAAGTCTGTAAGAACCAAGAGGTAGAACTGAAGGCGATGGAAGGGAATTGCGGAGCACAAACGGTTAATGTGCTAAGATGTTTGTCTTGGGAGGGGGCTCCCCTCCTTGTCCCCTCCCTTTCCGAACATCCTCCACCGAGCCACCCTCCCTTTCACCCATCCTCTGGGCCCGAAGTCCATTCCAAATACGCAATTTAGGAGTTGGGCTTGATTTCAGGCACGTTAGGGGAGGGTGTGCTGGGATTAAGTAATTCATTAATTTTGGTAGAGTTTTTTTCCCCCACAAACTCGTTTTTGTCCACATTCTGAGAAGGGAGAAAAAGTGGAGGTGAGGGAAGCCCCAGAGGTTGGGGATGGGAAAGGGGGGAGTGATTTAGCAGAGAGATGATCCTAAGAGCTGATGACTAGTGCAAGTCATCAGGAACTCCAGACCCCTGATTCTGCTCCAAATCACCTGGCCCCCCAATAATCATCCTGCTGATGCATTTCTGGGCAAGGTTCTCCAGGGGCCAAATAACTTCTGACAAAAACCTGCAAACTGTCTTGCACACAAGGGATGCTCAATAAATGTTTCTTGATTGGCTGAATGATGTACCTGAGCTGCATTTCATGCCATGGGAATTTGCCTTGGACAGTGAACTAATTCCCCGATGTAGACCCCAGGGCACTAAGTTAGTCCAATTCATTTTGCAAAGGAGGAGGATCTGAAGTATTAGGAAATATTGTACTCAGATCTTCATTACCCAAAAGTACCCCTGTGACTGCTTCAAGGTCAGATTCATGGGTCCAGGGACCAGATGAGCTCACTTGGGTTTGAATCTCTGTGTTGTGACCCTGGGCGTGTTCCTTTACCTCTCTGAGCCCCGCTCTTCTCATCTGCAAGATGAGGCCAGTTGGAGCTTCCTCTATGTCATATAGGGAAGATGAATGGAGAGAAGTATGAGAAGGTGAAAGGGCAGTTGATAGATGTCAGTCTTGCCTCCGCATCCTCAGAGGATTCAGGAGAGAGGGTACCTTTCTCTGTGGAGACCTCTCTCTGACTCTGATGCAGGTAATAACGTTGCGTTGCAGTGACTGGGCTGGCACCTTTCTGCCTGTGAGCAGTGGAGGAGGAGTGAGGCGCTGAAGGCTTTCGTAGGAGCGTGGAAGCAGCTTCCTTTGGGTTTTGGAGCAGAATTTACATATATACTGGTGTCTCTGGGGGCATGGCTGGAGAAGGGGTCATTCTTTGTTTTCTTTCCAGGTCTCATCCATCCTCTCAGCCTTCTAGTAGAGAGGAGCAAAGTGTGGAAACAGAGTTCCAGAGAAGGTAGCTTTGAAGCACCTAGGAAACCCGCACCTGCCTAAAGGTCCGAGTCAGAATAGTGCCATCAGATTAGTACCAGTTTTGCCTGACGGGATTTGGAGAGAACTCCCCAGCAGCCTGTAGGGTCAGTTACAAAGCACTTACCAACCCTTCTCACAGATGACAGTGGACCTCAGTGGATCTTGCCGTGTAACTCTGAAGCCTGGATGTGACAGTGGGAGATGGATGATGAGAAAGATGCTGCTGACACAGGGCTCCCCCGAAGCCTCAAGGTGCCATAGAGCGGCATGCATTCTGAGAGCAAATGCTCGCGTAGGCAGTTAGGGCCATAGAAGGCAGGCTTGGGAATAGGCTGAACAGTCACTTTCCCTTTCTTAAGTAAAGGCAACGATGATCTAACCCGACCTCATGGCACTAGACAGTAAGCCCTATGGAGGCAAGGTCCATGTCAGTCTGGCTCTTTGCCATATCGCCAGCACCTAGCACAGGGATGGCACATAGAAGGGGTTCAAGATATACGTAAAATGGACAGTGACTGGACAGTAACTTAAACTACTTCCTGTCCAACACTGCTTCATGCAGTTCATGCGTTCATTTAGCAAGCATTTCTTGAGCATCTACTCTGTGCAGGTCTCTGTCGTTAGGTATCCGAAGTAATTTGTAAACATTATTTTTATTGGTACTTCGAGTAGCCCATTCAAGAGCATCTCACCACAACCAGGTTCTTCTGGACACTGAGGTCCCACCGCAAGCCCCTGTGCGGCTTCAGGAGCGGGCAGTGTGAGTGGGGGAAGGGGGAATGCGCCAGGTTTAGCTTCTTTCCGGGAACATGTCTGGGGTTCCTTTGCACCTGCCCCTGCCGGGCCCTCGGGCTCCCGGGGCCGCCAAGTCTTGGCAACTCTGCTGTCCTCAGGGGTGGCGGCGCCTCTCTCCAGCCTCCACCCCGGCCTCCGAGCAGAGGCCCCGGCCGGTCGGCAGGTGGTTGGGGAAGGGACCGGGCTGCGCCTGGGGAGCGAGCTTCCCGGGGCGGGGAGAGCGCGGCCGACGCGGAGCGGTCCCAGAACAAAAGGCTCATGGCTGGCACCGGCCTCCTCGGAGCGCGCTGGGGACGTGGGTTCGGGTGCTGGCGGGAGGACCAGGCGCGGGAGAGGACTGGAGTGAAAACATGAGGTGAGAAAAGCAGGTGGGGGTGCGCCCAGGGTGGAAGCGGTGACAGGAGGTCTCCCTCGAGGCAGAGGTATGCGGAGGGGCCGCTGCGGCCCTTCCTCCGCCTCCTGCAGCGCCTTCCAAGCAGCCAAGCGTGTCTCCGGCTGCAACTCCGCGGAGCGCGCCGCGGCCGCTTCCAAGCCCGCCCGCCCGCCGGCTGTTCTAGCCAGTAAGTAGCGGCGCGCTTGCCGCCGGCTCCCCGCCCCACCGCGGCTTCCGGGCCGCCGCGCCCGCCGCCTCCCGCCACCTCCAGCAGACGCGCCGGCAAGTCCACAGCCGGGCGCTAGTGGCCGAGTGCGCCTCCTTAGCGTGGCCCCTCTACCCGCTCCGCGCCCTCCCGCGTGGCGCGGCTTTTGAGGCTCGCCGCGGGGAGGGTAGTCTTCGCCGCGCGCTCCCCGGGTGCCGCGCCACCCCTACGTCCAATGGCTTTCGCTGGGTGGGGAGTTGGGGGCGTCGCTCGGGGGCGAGGAGCCGCGGCCGGGGAGGGGCTTGTGCGCTCTGCGCGGCCGAGCGAGGCTGACGTGCCCGCCCGAGCGCGCGCCCGGGCGAGTGTGTGAGAGAGAGAGAGTGTGTGTGTGTGTGTGTGTGTGTGTGTGTGTGTGTGTGTGTGTGCGGGAGTGTGTGAGCACACGCCTTCAGGGGCTGGAGTGACACTGCGGTGGGCTTCTCCCTCGCGCCAGCCCTCCGGCTGCTCGGCCCCCAACCTGCCGGCGCCGCATTTGGGAAGCAGCTTGGCTCTTTCATCTTCCCGAGCCTCGCTCTCCATCCACCGCTTGCTGGTCTTACTTTTCCTTTTACCCGAGGGGCTGCTGCCGGCCACCCCTCAACCGGTGCAAACACCCAAGCAGTCTCCAGTTCTCTCCTAAGCCAAATCTTTTCCACTTGTCTTTCTCTGGGGTTCCTCCACGACCCAGTCCAAGGCTCCCCCATCCTTGGAAATTGTTTTGTTGGACTGCTGTACCGAGGCGTATAAAGCTTGAGGACTTTATTATTATTTCGATCCTTTTCATTTCCTCCCCTTCTGGGCAACGGAGCAATGAAATTTCCAATCGAGACTCCAAGAAAACAGGTGAACTGGGATCCTAAAGGTTGGTATTTCTTACTTTTGACCGCCCGGGCCCTGCCTCTGTCTCCGGCGTGTGCGCGCTTCCTTGACTGGAAGCACACTTGCTCCTGGCGGCCTGTGTCCTGAGGCTGGAAAATTCGCCTGGGAACTGCAGCGCGGGTGGGAGGAGGGCGGAGGCAGCGTGGGTGCCAAGCCCAGATAGCGCCTGTCATTATCACATAATCAGTGTCCCTCCTGGATTGTTTTAAAATCTGTTTAAAGATACACCAAGCTGGGTGTTTGACTTGAAATCGCACCAAGTGTCGATATTTCCTTCTGACTTTGTGTGTGTGTATGTCCTTTGTTTCTGGTGATCTTTGTCTCTGGCAGATGGGTGGGGTGCCTCCCCCTGGACCTGGAGCTGCACCGCCTGGCAGGGTGTCCTCAGTGGGAAAGGTTTCCTGGCAGCAAGTGGGGCTTGGAGCCGCAGCAACAGCCCCTGGAGGTGGCCCTTCTCTAGGGCAAGCGGAATAATGAAGCCCACGGGGCCTTCCAAATCTTCGCTCAATCTTATTACCAAACCACGCAGCTAGGTTGGCTCAGATGGGAGTAGAAGGGGGAGGAGGGAGTGGTTTTCAAAAAGGGTGGGGCAGGTAAGGGCTCGGGGAGGGGAGCACGCCCCGAGTAGTAGTGTCATTTACAAGCTTTTACGAATGTTGCACAGTGGCCCCTGGGCGCAAAAGGGAGTGATTTAGACAGATTTGTGTGTGCCTAGGGTTGTCCAGGGTGTCTGTAATTAGCATATAGATGTTAAGGCTTCTCATGAGTGATCACTATGGGAACAGAACAAGTTGAAACCTCGTGTCCAGTTTTGACAAGAATGCTCTTGCTTTTGTCATGCTTTGACAAGCTCTCTTAGCTCATCTGAAGGCTGAGTTGGGCGAGGCAACGCCTCTGTGTGAATTGGGGTTGAAATTTGTTTATTTGATGTGTATGTATCTGTGTGTGTGTGTGTGTGTGTGTGTGTTCAGTGTTTTTTTTAGGAGTGCATTTCTTCTTTTCCCCAGACTGGAAAAGAGGAAACCCAGTCATTGTTGAATAAATGTCTTAGGAATTGACTGGGTACTGAAGACAGAGTGAAGAGACATTTCCTATTCTAACACCAGTGCTGTTAATACAACCAGGGCTGTTAAGTGCAACCCAGACCTTCTATTTTGTCTCTAGATCTCTGGAAATATGGAAGTGTGCCTGTTTTTTGTCTGTTTGTTTTCTTATTTTGGGGGGGAGGAATCCTTGCAAAACATATTTATTGAGTATCTACTACAAACCAAATGCTGTCCCAGGCACAGGAAATACAGTCAGAATACTACAGACAAAAGCTCTGCCTTCTTGGAGTTTATAGTGAGGGATACAGACCTAAATCAGTCATTGCACAGAAGTGCATAATTACACGTTTATACATGTTCCATGAAGAAGAGCATCAAGGCTTTAAGAAAGTGTCTGATGGAAGAGACTGACAAGAACCACGGGAGGCGGATAGTCAGGGAAGATAGTCAGATATTTGTACTGAGACCTGGAGGATATGTAGGGATTAATTGGCGAATGAAGATGGGAACTTGCAGAAGAAGGAACAGCAAGTGCAAAGGCCCTGAGGCAGAGGGAGCATGTATATTTGAGGACCTGAAAGGAAGCTTCCATGGCTGGAGCTGAGAGCAAGAGAGCATGTGTTTTGAGGTGTGGCTGGTGAATCCATAGGGTCTGATCCCAAAGCCTCGTGTTGTTGCAGGTAGGGGGGGGAATTGTGGATTGGGAGGTTGGAGTGTTTCAAGCTGAGGAGCGACATGATCTCAACTGAGTTTCAAAACAAGTGCCATGTGGCTCTTGTGGATGTGAGGGACCAGATACAATAGTAGTGTGGACCATGGTGGTGGCTGTGGAGATGGAAAAATGGATGGAGTAGGGAGCGAGGGAGGGTACAAAAATCTACAGGCTTTGTGTGAATCAGGTGTGGATGTGGAGTAGTTGGAATGATTGGGAAGGCAGCCAGGGCAGGACTAGTCTTGAGGGAAAACTCAGGAGCTCAGCCCAGGACTTGTTGAGTGGGAGACGTCTCTGAGTCATCCAAGAGATGGGTCAAGTGGGCTGTTGTCTAAAATATCAGATCAGTTATTTTCAAGGAGCTCTGATAGGGAGGGCTGTGGGGCCGATTTTGTGAAGCTTGCCTTGGCTTTTAAAATACATTTCTATATAATCATCATTCTATCTATTTATGTCACAGTGATAAACACAGATGAATCCCACATTTTACAGCCTAAAACAGTGAAGAAGCATGCAAGTAGTGTCTATAGTCACAACCGATGATGCTAAAAATGGAAAGACCCCGATAAAAGTCACAGCATTCAGTGAGCAATCATTGCATGCCAGGTGTTTGATGTACGTAATTTCATACAGTTATTGTCACAGTACTTATCTGATGGCACAGTGTTATTGTCCCCGTTTGACCCTTGATTGCCATCAGGACACCACTGAGCTGCCTTTTAGTAGTGTGCTCTGTCTGACTTAGGCACAATTGTTCCTGGAGGTGTGGGTGACAGTAGTCTTTCCTAGCCAGGGGGTGGAGGCAGGAAGAGAGTGGGGAGTGAGGGTACCATATCTCACACCAGCATAGAACTAGGTGCACATATATTAATGAATTAATTAAATTATTTATTAACTTATGTATTATTAATTATTCTTTAACCAGAAGATTAATTTAATGTTCTTTACTTAATCATAGACAGAAGAGATGATCCTAATTTTAGAGGTGAGGGAATCGAGGAACAGAGAGGTTGAGTAACTTATCCGAGGCCACACAGCTAGTGGGTGGTGGGGTCAGACTAAAATATGGGCCCTTAAACACTCTTCCCGTCTGTTCCTTATGTTATTGCACCTCTGGCTCCTGCCTGGTGAGGTTCCCAGAGCTCAGGGACTGGAGAAGCTTCTTTCAAGGAGGAAGAGCATAAGAGAGAGTAGGAGGAGGAGGTGGGGGAAGAGGAAGAGAAGGGTGAGGCAGTAAATCAGTCTTTCTCACTCATTCCTTTCTCCATTAACCTGTCTAACCAAATATTATCTCTGCATCTACCTCTGGGGGGCGGGTAGTCACTGGCTACTGGACAGACATTGGGTCTGTTCTTTGGAAGTTTGGGTTTACATAGACCAAATGTGTTTAGCAAGGGAAAGATGAAGGAGACCCTAGCATTATAATAGAAAAGAAGAGGGACAGTTCCTTAGAATTCTGGAATGAACAGACAGACTTGCACCTTCAGGTGGCTGTGCTCACCGATTTTGGAAGGAAGTTGTAATTATGATGTTTTGCTTATAGCCCTATTACCTGACAATTTAATAGCACAAAATGAAGGTGGTTTGAGAACAGAGTGGTTTTGATTGCACTTGGGTGAATTAAGCAAAGCACTGTTAAGAGGTTTAGGTGCAAAAATAAGACCTAAGTGTAAAATGATTATTCTCTGGTGAGCTATGGCCTTCCTCCATATTTGTAAAGCTAAGCCTTTAACACACAGTGACTGTTTGTGGAGGACCTACACAAAAGTAGGTTGGCACTAAGTATTGGCTTTCATAGCAGGATTTATATGCGTTTTAAATCACTGGGATCACTTGTTGATGATCTTCTGCTGAAAACTGGGATTGGCTATCTGCTTTGATGTATGTTAAAAGCTTTTAAAAACCAGTAAGATCAGCAAACAATATCCCTACAGCTTGAGGCAAGCAGATCATTATAGTGTAAAAAACTCAATTTTGGGGCAAAAGAATTAGTTTCTAAAACAAGCTGTAGCAATAATTAGCTGTGTGACTTTGGGCTGCTCACTTAGCCTCTCTGGGCTTAACCTTCCTCCCATGTGCAAGGAGGCCATTGACATGGCCTCTTTGATCCTATCTCTTCAACATCCCCCTTGAGCTGACCTCTGGACCATTTGGCTTCCTTTTGTTCCTCAAATAGATCAGACGTGTTCCTGTCTCAGGGCCTTTGCACTTGCACTTTCCATTGCTTATAAATGTATGTTAGCGTGGCTGGCTCTTTTCCATCCTTTAAATCTCAGTTCAAATATCACCTTGTTAGCAAGGGCTTCCCTGTCCCATCTGAAGGCCTCGCCTCTCGTTCCCCAGCCCTATCGCTTTCTCTTACGTATCCTGTTCAGTTGTCTTCCTGGTACTTGTCATGATCTGAAACCATCTTACTTGCTCATGTGTCACCTTTGGTGCCAGCCTCACTTGCTAGCGCATGAGTCCAACAAGCAAGAATGTTCCCTGTCCTGTTCACTGTCTTAATCCCAGGCCCTGGCAAGTGCCTGGCACGTAGTGGATGCTCAATAACCTTTTGCTGAATGTATGTAGGATGGATCAGAGAGGATCTCTAAGGCTTCGAGCATGATGGAAATTCCAGCACTCTTTTAAGCTACAAATGGCAAAGGACAAATAAGAATAGGATAATATATCCCTAATTAACGGGGTGTTGGACAGGACACTGATATTCCCACTTCCTTGCAAGCTCCCAGCTCTCCAGAGCCTCCAGCAGACTGTTTTCCTTCTGTTTGCCTTCTCACCAGGAATGGAGGTGAGGTGGGGGCAGGTGGGTGGGCAGATGTAGCCTGACAAAGATACGGTTGGTGTCCAGTTCATAATTTGGTGCATGTTGGTCACTGGTGTGCAGCTCATTTTAGGTAGTTAAATCCACTTAAGAAAGAAGCAAAGCCTTAGAGCTGGAGCTGGATTTTTTTTTTAAAGCTGCATTTTTAGTGCATAGTTGAGTGCAAAGTTCCAGAGAGGCCTATATCTTATGTGTGTATCACCTTTCAGTTTATAGAACGCTTTTTACAAATTATATCATTTGTTCTTTATTTTTTTTTGCGGTACGCGGACCTCTCACTGTTGTGGCCTCTCCCGTTGCGGAGCACAGGCTCCAGACGCGCAGGCTCAGCGGCCATGGCTCACGGGCCCAGCCGCTCCGTGGCATGCGGGATCCTCCCGGACGGGGGCACAAACCCGTGT